CGTTTCATCAAAAACTCATGTTTCGTTAAATAAATCGGACCAGTTTGTGGTTACGTATTTTAATCTAGCAATTTACGTACGTGTAGCGCCACTTTAAAACGCGAACCGGATCAACTAACGAGAAAAGAAATTTCGCTGTAAAAACTATATTATCTAATATTGCATGTTGAAATGAAATTGTCGTAAACTGCAAAAAGAAATCTCTGACGCAATATGCTACGCATTGATTATGACTGATGGAATGACGATTCACGTGAAAATGAAAACATTATAGAATTAGGCGGAAAATTGGAAACGCGTAAAAGCTCGTGGCGAAGAGGTTTTACTCAATAGGCCATCTGTGTCGACGCAGAAGAGAATTTTATTACCGATTTAACGAGCCATAAGTGCTCAAACATACCTGTTAGTACCCCATCCGTTAACCCTCATCCCTAATCAAACTCCTTTCAGTAGCGATCAATAGTCCCCATTGAATAATTGAAAAGTTTTACTCCAATGGTTAGAATAACTACCAGAGGGATAATTAAATGACAAACTTCTATTTCCCTTACAGCTTGTACCCATGTATTTATACGTTGCTACACAGTCCGGTCTATGCAATCTCAAGGAACCGACTGATTTATTCTAAACTCAAAGTTTACTCCCTTACCGCAGGGCATAGTTACATTATAGGAACAACATGAGACACGTTCCGCATGCTGGAAACTACTAATGGAACATAAGGAAAGTGCACTAACTCGTTAACGTGTCTTTCAAATAATTCGAGGAGTCTGCACAGTATTATGTAAGATAACTTAATAGTTGTCTACGGCATGCAACTGACACACTCTGACCTCCCGTAATGGGAATCTTGGGTTTACTATGGCATCCGATTCAATTTTACTTCAAGTAGCGTCCAAAGAAGTCCCTAGAGATACGAACGGAAATGAATCTTAAGATGGTCATTTTGAATGCTACCTGTATCCTTATAACCTACAAATTAAATTAACGTAATAAGCTTTTCTTGATTTATCGTATTCACACGTAAGTAATAAAATTGCCTTGTAATCAGTAATATATGCACGAGCAGGATACTTTAATTGGCATTGTGAATTTTCTGTGAAGCATTCCAGTTCAGGAATTTGTGTTGCATCGGAATGAGCGAGCAGTTTTAAAGCATACGCTCTAATGGGTAATGTAATTTAAGACGCTCGTCAACCGAGATTCTGAGACTCCAAGAATTTAAGACTCGATGGAAGTTGGAAGATGGTAAGGTGGGGAAGATAGGGAAGGATGGATGGAAGCAAGTAAGGCGAACGTCGAGTGAATCTTAAATTCTATGCGATTCCTCCGTCTGCATAGTTGAGTGAATAACTCGTGTAATTACAAACGACCCAGTTGATAGATGCATTTCGAACGTAGCCATAGGACGAATATTTATATGATTACTTTAATGATAAAGTCACGATCACTTTCAACTTGTCCAATTGCCATCTAATAAATCAATACGACGTACCGAGTCCATTACTGTTTTAAGGATTCGCTAGAGGTATTGTACAGTCTCGGTTAAAACTTTTCAATATGACTCTAGGGTTATTTCCGTTAACCATAATCATCCTAGAATATCTATCGGTACTGATATGAAGGAATACGTTTTTACGGAATAAACTGGATAACCCAATTTTTTCGTCGACGACGTGGGTTCTTACAAATGGCGGATATTTGTTCACAGGAAGAGGAAAAGCTGAAGAAGCTTGAAAAGCGCCGAATCTACTGTGTCCTACAGAAGTGAACTCTCGAAGTCTCTCTCTCCTGGGAAAAGAAATTCGTTCTGTTCCTTTGATTCTTCGTAAATGCTTATTCGGGATAGAAGGGGATAGGATTTTCTTGGCTTGTCAAGCGAAAAAATTAACCCGGGTAAGAATGTATTAAAGCATTTCTCATGTGTACTCGAGCCCAAATCGGGACGGAAGAGGGCTTCGGGAACTGTGGTGCTACCACTATTTCTTAGTCAGGCATTAATCAAGCGCTACTCAGGATATTATAGTCACGGTTTAAAGATATCATGTCCTAATGTAGCCTGATCGGGAAACCCTTTTCCAGAAGCCATATTTCCTCATTCGGGCTGAAATAATGTTAACTACTATGACCCCGATCAGGTTTTAATAAGATATCTATATTTGTGCAGAGGGCGCATTAATCGTCGTACGTTCCTACTGTTACAGTATACGATGCTCTAAATTACATTCAGATAGCACTGTACAGTCAACTATGTACTCTTTGCGTGTGTCAACCATCAGTCGCAGCGTTATTGTCGTGCAAGATGGATTATAAAAGGCAACGAATTCGAACGCAAACGCGGGTGCGAAAATACGAAAAAGTGTATTACATGAAGCAACTAAATTATAATTGCTATAATAAGGCCTATGAAATTGGCGGGGAGGTAAAAACGTACAATTCATATTTGACAGACAAAAGATCCCTACGTATATCCGGTGTAATTACCAATCTCTTCAATTATTTCATGTCTGACTCTGCTGAAGCCAATAACGAAGTGAGTAATTTGCTGGAGTCAGAACAAGTGTAAAGTGGGAGTAAATCTAAGTTTTCATGTGCCAGTAAACATTTAACCAGACAAATTAGGAATAGTGCAAAGTCAAGAAGTGAGATAATTTGCAATCACGTACAATATTGTTCATGCTTTTGGCAGTAATGCCGCGAATTATGAAATTTGGAAAATGCTGCATTACTATAATAGCGCTAATGGGGAAGATATAAAGATTACCTGATTGAGGCTACAATAACATTGCCAGATCATGTGAAACGCGTTACAAACCGGATGAGGCGCTTGTCTGCTTCCCGATCGGGACCAAATTCAGCATTAGGGAACTTTTTACGGGTCCTAAGTTCTGCCCTGTTAACATTTCTACCTGGGAAATATTTAAAAATAAGCTTTATAAAAACTTTCATCCAAATATTCAATTTTCAAAAGCAGGAAATAATACATAGAGAGAATCTTGGGGAAAGACCAGTACGTTAAATTTTGTATTAGGTTAGTAGCATCGAATCACTGAAAACATATTTCCATATATTTCAATAACCGTCATCTAGAATGAACGATAAAGGCAATCAATCATATAAACTTTATGCTTTTGAGAATAAAACGTAATATACATAGCGTTTCAAAATCCTTATCTACAGTCTATCACACAAAATCAAATTCCAATTTAAAATTCATAAAATTTTTCCAAATTGTTATTTCTCATTATTATCATGAATAATTATTTTTTCTACTCTAAACTCACTTCAATAGGACTTCTCCTTTCAAAAAAAAATTCTTTCACAACGGCTTCGCTAACCTATACAGTATAAACACTTATTGAACGAGAAATACGAAATTCATCTTTTGTTCTTGTTCTTAAGCAAGAGGCAATGAGACCTTAATAAAATGTCACAAAGGAGTGTTAACACTCAAGATTTATCGAGCTTGCACAGTAATATCCGAAATGATGAGGTAAACGAACGATCCAATAGCAATAAGCTAGAATATCCATTTACCTCGGGTTACGATACAATGCAAACTCATAATGCGTGCGTTAGAGAGTAATAACGGCCCTTGCGAAACGAGAACAAACGGTACACGTAGGAACGACGTATGGGACAGGGTTTGAGCTGCATAAGGGTAGTTCCTATAGTAAATCGCCACGAAGAACAATATTTTGCGGTGGACGTTGCTAGCGAATGTGGACAAAACAAATAAATCGCAGGTCAAAAAGTTCAGGGCCCGAACAAGCTGAACTTTGCCAATACGTAGTGTGAACCCACCTATTCACCTTCTCCAAGCCAAAAACGTTTTCTCGCTTTCTCCCGCCACCACAGACTACGTCACACCTCGAAGGATCTTTCGTCCAGGAAGAAACTTTTCGCCTCCAGTATGTCCTTCGTTTTAGTCTTCACTAACCGTGCTAATAAATCCCTCACGGAAGGAACACTCTGGCCTCTAGAGCATGTCTAAAACCCTCGAACAGGACCAATTTACTGTAATTGTTATCAGGAAATTTCTCCTTTGATTTGAGAGTCACAAAAGAGAAACAAAGACTTTGAGTTGAAGTGAACCCTCTTTATCCTCTGGGGTTGGAAGATGAAACCCTTAGGATGAAAGAACCCAATGCTGCAGTAAGTACATGATATACATCTTCGTGTATAAATGTACGAGGCTGGTAATGAGTCTGTGATAATATGAAAAAGATCTGTAATTCATTTTTTAACAATGGTAATGACAACAACGTATACACTGAGAAAAACATATTGTTAGATTAAGTGAATTAACAACGTAACAGTAACAAATACGACCACGAAGTGGTCACGTTAAACCGTAAAAAAAATATTATGATCATTATACTTTAATATTGTGCGAGTTTTAGAACGCCTTTAAATTATGCTCCAATTTTATACAATATATTGGTAAAAAATAAGTGCAGAATTTAACTTATAAGTTATAAGCTATAATAAATTTAATTCCAAGCCAGGTTGTAAGTGGAGAGTAAATTATATCCCAATTTTCATAGTAAATTTTAGTAACGTGTTTGTTACCGATACCTATCACTGTATACCGCCGAAAGTTTAGAGATAATCCAAGTTATATTATTTCCGCAGCCTTTGCTGGCTTATCCACTTTCTTCAAGATTTCTCAGTACCAGGTAACAGAATATCGTACGAACGAGACACTCCGGTAGTAACACGAGACGATATATCCAACTCGCTCAGATGATTCTCTAGTGAAATCAAACTGACACACGCCATAACCAAGAAACCTGACGATACATTTATCCTCTTTAACTCTCTCATCCTCTCCAGCTTCACCGAGTACCCGTGCATTTGTCCTTTGACACTTTCCGATACGCGAGAATATTCTCCTGAGGTTATCCGTCGCGATGTAAAATGGGGAGAAATAAAATATATATAAAATGCGAAACCCCGAGATTCCATTCCGCTCATACGAATTGTCCTTGATGTTGCAGAGGCCGTGTTACAGCGCAGACATCTGGCAAACAATCAAATCGAGAGGGATTGTCTGACGTTTCCCGAGCCAATTAAGGAGGTTCTAGCGCAGACGGGAGGTACTGCTGTGTTACCATGCAAGCTCACCGAACCCAGCGTCGGCATAGTAAGCTTCCTTTATGTCCTTAAATAAATAATCTCGAGAAACTACTAGGTATTCAAGCCGCAAGCTGCTTACTGCACCAGAAAGAATCCAGGATGCTTCTGCGTGCAAAACCATCCAGACCGCCAGAAGCGCCGACGTACCACATCCACCTTCAAGCCACGATCTTCTACGACGCTACGTCACCCTACGCTTTGTCGTATCGTTACACTTCTGTCGTTTCACGTAACTTTTAGCCATTACAATTCCATCGGTGTCTCTTCTGCACGATTGAAAAATCGTCTGTGGCAACAGACAAATTTTTTTATTTTTCTTTCCTTTTCTTTTTTCTTACTGCTTTACCCTCGTCTTTGCATGCCGTCAATACTTCCTCGCAAGATATCTATAACGTGAGAACAGAATTTGTATGAAATCTTTCATGTCCAAGATGCAATTTTATAGCACGGACACCATTGGAAAATCATAATCACGTTAATAGTTAGTGCAGATTACATGTGCAGTTGTATAAAAAATATGTGTTGTAAAAAAAAGCAATATTTCTTTCGGACGTAATATATCTACCCAAGTAAATTATATTGTTACTAAAACTTCGGAACAATCCTCTTGTATCTAATTTCTCCCAGTGAGAAAGTAGATCCTTTATAAAAGGGGTATATGTATATGTATACTTTTTTTGTATAGCTGTACACTTGGGTCTCGATATCATTGTGAAATTTGAGAAACTCTTTTGCATTTTAACTCACAGGAAGATGCTCGTGATATCGTCCATATTACGTTTTGGCTAGTTGAGTAGAATATATAGCTGATATATACAATACTAAATTATGTACATATGTATTTTTACTATGGATGTTTTGGGGTGGTACTCACTGAACCTATCACAGTCGTTCCATCCATCAAACAAGCAAGGACGATCGATTGTAATCGTAATGAATTCCGGTTCGTAAATTCAATGTTCGGTATCAGGAGGGGTTGGCAGGTCTGACAGTAGTCCGCACCCTCAGTGCCTACCCCTAGTGGGATTATGCTATAGAGGATCGAAATAGCTATGGGAATGTGAAGCAGTGTCAAGAGTGCGATCAGGATCGGGTCTGGGTAAATTTCCTAGGAAGAATTGGATTGGTAGGAATAAAGTGCGAACGGAAGGGGTTGAAAGGTAAAGGTTGCAACGGGATAGCTCGAAGGATTAGACGTGTTAGAAAGAAATAGAGGAAATAGTGGCCGAAGGGAGAGTGGAAAGCTCTCTTCGTTTTGTTTCGAGCGCCTGTGTCTCTGACAGCAGTTAATTACAGGGCCTCCAAGTCAGACAGATAACGGCTCTGCGACACTGTGCTTTCTCTATTCAGGGTGCTACCCGTTGTTCCTTTTTAACGTGCCTCCACCCGCATTATGGTTTATCGTACTTTTATATATACTTTCTAGTCGGGATTCCTTTCAAAGGTTTACAGAACGTGGCAGAGTATTGTCCACTAACGGATAGGGAAAGTCTTTGAATTTTAGAGATGCTTTCATCACATTATGGGAGAGGAGGAAACAATGCGTGCTTAGTACTTCAATCTTATTCGTGCACGGTGACAATTTTACATTCAGTATTTCTCCGAAATCCTCGGTAAATATTATCCACGAACCTCGCAACACTGGGACACGGTATTTTTTTGACAGCGTAGCAAATTTGCCTATGCAGCATAGTTAAGATCCTCGAGTCAAATTTAAATGGTGGTCAAATTTGCCTGCTTTAAGATAACGATTCCTATGAATGTTGGACGAAAATAAAAACTACACTAATGCCACAAAACAGACAGGAAAACACGACGTACAGATCGATAGACGCGATAGTTTATGGTAAGACAGCATTTCAGGCTCTGATGATTCGTGTGTCTCCCTACAAATCGAAGTTTCCCGAAGCTCACTGACCGTCTACCACTACAGCTTCAAATTTGTGTGAAATTTAGTAATTTTTATGTTGCTTCGCAGCATAAACACGAAAAACTATTTAACAGAGTAAAACTTACGACTGTCCATACATATTTTAGTGGCTGGCTAGAACTTCTTCTAAACTCAACTGATTATGCAGTATACAATATTTGTAGCATATTTTCCAGATCTCAAACCTTTACCACCCAGCATAGTAAAAAGTATATGCACTATCTAAAATTTTTCTTTTTTACAGTATCACTGTACAAAATTCTACATCATCCCTGGTTTACCCTGTAGTTACACTGAAAATATTATTTATACTGCATTACACTGTAATTTTTAATAGAAAATTCTCTACATGTGTAAATCGTTGATTGATACTGCATATCAAGAGCAACTCTTCTTTGATCTGTAATCAATACGATCACAGATATCGTCACTGTCATAGTTATTTGTATCTTCATATGGTCGCGAAACAAAATCGTTATCAACGTAAGCAATTACAAATAATCATTTGTCGATACTGCAAAACTCCAGATTTTCCTGTAAATGCCAACGAATTCTTGTTTCCTGTTTGTTTTCTAAATAGGGGTTGTGGCTGTCTCCATTGTCTTCAAAGGGATTTCAGTATCAGCTATTCAACCTTTTCTAAAGCTGTACCTTTTTATATAGAACCCGAATCTCCGAAGTCCTCCAAAACCGATAGAGTGAGATTGTCAACCCCTGTGTGAACTTTAGAGAGTGCTTGGCCTTAACAGGACTCACTTACATGGACCAACATTTAGCTACGTCTCCAGGGAGGCGATCACTCCTTGAAAAAGAAATTAAAGGTCCTTAAAAAGGTTTGATAGGATATCTGGTGAAAACCGCACTTAGCATCATGAATACTACATATGAATGTACTCGTGGTGAGTAAAGAATTTCCCTCTTTATAACCAACTCCGTCTTGGCTTTTTACTCCAACTTGAAATTAAATTTGACTGTGAGCAGATCACTAGATCAGTTCCTTTTTAAGAGCCCCTTTTCTTATGGTCTACAACCTAAAAGAGTCCCTTGAATTTGAATTTGACATGGCGCTTCGACCACAGTACTGACCGAGTCATGGGACGGAAATGAAAAGTCTTGAACTGATGCGAATCGATCGCCAGCTGAAATACCTAGGGTAGAACCCGCAATTACTAAGTCAATAGACCAGCAAAGACACGCTATCGTAAATTCAATGATTTTGTTTGTAGAACGTGAAGCTTCAAGAGAGTCCAATATTTATTGTTACTTCGACAACGCCTTGTCACGTACATAGTGAACAGACTGTTTCATTTAAAGAGAAATTAATTTTGGTTACGAAAGAAAGTGAATGATTTTAGAAAATGTCGCTGCTATTGAAGAGAGATTAGTTGGTTTAGAAATAACTAATGTGGTACGATTAAGAAATATTCGTTATGCACAGAAATCAAATAACTAATTTCTCAAAGAACTGACTGATTTCAAGAAACTTTAATTAATTTTAACGTAGCAATATGGTTGGGTTTGGAAAATTGCTGGTATAAATCGGTTGCTCGGTGCATTAATTGTATTTTTCAGAATAGATATGCAGTATGAAACTCTATTTGTTCAGAGCGCTGCTGCCATTTGTCACGCACAAAGTTTTATTTATAATTAAAAAATGAGAAAGAGAACCTATGAATATGTTGCATACAAAAGAGGCTGCTAGATTAAGGTATCGATCTTTAAAATTAAATGTCAATTATGTATTATATGATATACTAAAGCGAGAATTTGATTTTGAAGAAAAAGTTAATTACGTGAAAATGTGCGATGCGCCTGTATCTACATACATAACGTGCACATAGATACGTTTGCAAAAACATGATGTCGGCTACGGCCAAGTATCCATAAGGTCGACCTGAGGTTTGCAAATGACTAATCGCAGGCTATCGTTATGAAACGTCTACTTCGTGGCAGGTGAACGTTATACGAGTGATTTATGATATTTTGAATCAAAGGAGCTTAATCCCATACGGAACATTGGTTTCTTCCTATTCATCGAATATTTACAAGAGGAACAAATACATTACTTAATGGTGATAGAACTGTATATCGGTACTTTTTATTTGAATCGGTTGAAGTTTACCCATTTGGGGTAATCAAAGGTATTTTGTAACGTTAAGTCGAACTCTTAATGTAATTAGGCAGTTAAGTGTAAGGTTAAGATGGAATTTCATATTATTATATAAAATAGCATTCAGTAATTAGGACTCACTGCTCGTTTTACTTTAATGATCGTTATACACTTGAAACTTTTCCGTGTCGTAGCAGGTAGCACTCTTTGAAATTAATGTCGTTGCAGTTTATTACACGCGGCAACTTTCGCAAACTCCGGAACAAGCCGTTCCCGAGAGACTTGCATCAAGTCCGATGGGGGGAACAGCTGGAATAAAATGTCGGGAATTTTAAGAAAATTTCATAACACACTTTTTTACTTTTCGTATGATTTTTCACTCTCCCTTCCATACTAGTGTTATGTTAAAATGTAGTGCATAGGCTTGGAAATATTTTTATTACAACCCATGTAAGATATACATATATACCTATTGAAATTCGGTAAATTGAAAATTATCTCAAATCTCAATAAAATCCCAAAGAGAGCATCGCAACATCGACCTATAAAGTATATCGGTATCCTCATCAATTCAAATATCCACTGAACTCTGTTATCCACTCGTATGCATGTTTTCTCTACGACGAATCATTCATACGTGTACATGCTGTTTACACGTATAACTAAACACTTGATTTGGAAAATTCTGTTTAATTTGGAATGTATACCATTGAATCAAATCTGCGAAAACATAGCTGGGCATTCATTGAGCTATGTGAAATTTCGAAATAAAACATATCCCATATCGAACAGTTCGCGTATGGAGTTACAGTACTGATAACATGAATAGAACTCGATCTGATGGGCAAATGATGCAAGTGCATTACCATACATAGAGTACAATCTATGCAGCAAGTTTTAAATAAAATAGAAGAATAAGTGCTTGGAAGAAGTATCAATTAAAAATCGCACGAAATAATTAGTTCGG